AGCGGAAATGACCAGGAAATCCTCTTTGCTTTGGGAAATATCTGCCACAGTGAAGAACCTGATAAAGAAAGCTTCTCCCGCATTGCTAAGTTTTACAACATCGACGGCGAAATTCTGGAAGCCGAGCAGAAAATGTACGCGAGTTTTCGTCATGTGCGCGGATTGGGCTGCATGACTGTTTCAGAAATGCTAGAGACAATGCGCATATTCGATATGTTTCCAGAGTTTTCCAGTGTGGTGCATATCCTTGCAGTGATACCTGCTACATCGTGTTCAGCAGAGCGATCATTTAGTGCGTTGCGCAGATTGAAAACTTACCTCCGCAGCACCATGGGGCAACAACGTGTCAGTAACATTGCACTTATCAACATTGAAAGGGCGTATGCCAACTCTGTAGTCAACAATGACATGGATCGTATCATTGATATCTTCGGTCTTCGAAATGGCAGAGACAGTTATTTCTTTTAGATTTTAAAGTGTTTTTTGAGCTCATATGATAGATTCATAGGTAAGAATATTTTCACTTCATATGTAGGCCATTGTTAGTGCATCGTATGACCCTCGTTTCCTTTGGACTGTTTAGTAAAAATTTGGGCAACTTGTAAGAATTTTTTTTGGGCAAATGGTTCACCGCCCCGCCCCCTGGCAAAAAAATGCCCGTATGCCTATGGTGTCTGGCCATCTTTTTATTAGTCTTTCCCGTGTCTGTGCATCAATAGTACTTACAATGAACTGAAACCTCCACCACGCTGTTTATTGTTTCCAATTTCCGGTTTATCACCTGCAGCTTGTACTTTCCAATGTCAGCTTTCTGTGCTCTGAGAATTGTTACTAGTGTTTGTGAGGCTGATATACGCACAATGAATCTTTCCTGGTAATCAGAGGCAACGACTACGTTTCCATTCGCTGAAGACTTAACAGCAACCGCTTTCTCTTTCCCAGCTTTCTTCAAATCGGAAAATTGAGCTTGTGCAAACTTTCCATCAACATTATACTCCCACGCGAGGGTTATGTTCTTTCCCTGAACAACAGAAGTGAAGTTCACGGGTTGAACGGTCCAAGTTGGTAAGGCTCCTTTTTAAAAGGAAAAAATTAAAAAAATGTAAAAGTTTATCATTTTATACAAAATGTTTGAGGAGTCTCATCAAAGCAAGCCGCAAGTTTATGGTACAGAGAATTGTTCGAGTTGCTTCACTGGAGTCAAGTCTTGTAGGTGCATTATATTTTCTTTGAGTCTTCATATTTTCGCTCAGTGTTAAAAGAAGTCACGATAATTTTTGAAACATTTTCGGGAAGTTTTGCCATGTTTGATTACATACTCATTACATTAGACGGCTAATCATTAAAGATTGCTACACGATGTTTAGGTAGACAAAAAAACCAAAACCATTCGTTTGTCTGTACTTCTGCAGGCTTTCTCCTTGCATTCGTTTTAACATTCATCTAAGACACTAGTAAAAGTAAAAGACAAACCGAAAGTTGCGTATTCTGTGGCTTTGGCGTTAGCATTTCTGACGGCTGAGAATGAAAATCGACAACTGGAAGATTTGCCTCTGGCCGATTTTGGTCGTTTACCTGAAAGACTTCTTCTTTCGGTAAGGACAAAGTCAATAAATGAGAATTTTGTAAATTGAAAATTACGACCATTGTTGATTTTGTAATAAGATTTAACGCCCTTTTCCATCTTAAGAGTCAGCGCTAACGCACTCTACGATTGTTATTCAAGGATTGTCGATTCATTTATTTTCATTCATTGATGAAGTTGGCTTGTCTTCCCGTAAAAGGGCTATTGCGTCTATCGAGTTAAACACTCGAAGAGAAATTCCATATCTACGCGCGCCCATGTATTATTCTCTATTTATTTACTATTTGAATTCGAAGACGGTATTTATTTGGGTTTAAGATAAGGCGATGAGATTCTTAATCGTGACTGCTTGTCTAACTTCCATAAGTGAAAGTGCTGAGTTTACCTACTGTACTTGCCTAGACCCACACTGAAGTTCTTGTTTTGGCTTTGCCAGTGAAAGATTGATTGTTTGATCGGAAGTGTCAAGTACGTTACTGTTCATTTGTCAGTTTCTTGTAAAAGCGTTGGGAGAAATGTTACATCAAACGTATAATTTCCCAAGGTCAATGAATGAGTTGCCAGTAATCGGATCCTTGTGTGCCAAAAATTTCTGGGATCGCCACGGGGCAAATATTGCAAGTTGCTGGAAAGAAATATAAGGCGAAAGGTTGTTTCGACGTTCAAAAAAACGATTTTGGAGAGAGATTAATGCTTTTTCGCCGCAGTTTTATTATAAATGGATTTTGTTAGCACTGACACTAAATATGTTATAAAATACCGATTAACTTCTCTCCTTTCGTAAAGTCTATAATATAATTTTGAAATCGTCATCGCGTAATGGTTACGACATATTATAAAATTAGCCTTAAGTGATCGCACGGATATGACCCACTTAAGACTTTTCAGTTTATTTTTGTATGTACAGCCTGTTGTTATACTTGTTAACGTATTAAATAAACATATTGCGATGTCTGAAATATACCTCCTCAAAGGAGAGAACCGATAAACAACAAAATGAAATCCAAGGTCAAGTGACAATTTTCCGAGAAAAATCCCAAGGTTTTTGAGCTGCCACTTTACTCCGCGAACTCCTCGAAGGATCTTGTCAGGAAAAGCAAGATCACGGGAACTCCGGTAGAAATTGTGGACGTATATATATTCAGTTGTGCATCGCTCCTCAAGCGACCCATTTGTACCTATTCATCGACGCATAAGAAAAGGTTCAGTTTTAAGCCGATTATCAACGCTAGTTCGCTCTCATTGATCATAACAAAGAGGCAGTGCAGGTGTTTAACAACTCAATATATCACGATAACATTTCATGCTCAAGCACACAATTTCGATCTCCTGCTGCTTCGAGGTAGCTGTTGTGGCGTTTTTTTTTTGTTTTGTTTTTTTGTTTTGTTTTTTTGTTTTACCAAACCAAGAAAAAAGCTATAGTTAGACTTAACACAAGTAAATAAAACTGAAAAAGCTTCATTTAGTTATTTCTTGGCGATTTATCACCAATATTTCCAAAGATCGAGATCATTGTGCGATGTCAGTTTCACAAAACCCTTGTGCATGGAGAAAAGTTCAAGTTCATCGCTAGATTTTACTACATATTTCACGGTTTTTCACCACCCCTATATCAATATTGCCTACAGCTATTTCTGATAAAATAGCGGCAAAAAGCGATGATCTTCACCAAAATTGTTATTTTGGACGTCGAAACAACCTTGTGCCATAAATTTCTTTTTAGTGAATTGCAATGTTTGCCCCGTGGCGATCTCAAAAATCTTTGCGCAAGCACAAGGATCCGATTACTGGCAACTCATTCAATAGGCAGCATGCCCAAATGACTTTGCTTACTGATAGTGAGTATATTAGCGAGTTCTATATATTTGACACTTACAAGAGGGTAATCGATCGGGGCTGAGGTAGGTCGATTATAGTTTCCCGAAAAAAACTAAGAGTGAAACAAGGTCGATCATTCGGTCAAAGTCAGAGTAGTTAAATAGAAGACTGAAATGAATGCACTGTAATCGGTATTGTATTAGAGAATAGAGATTAAAGAAGGCTAAAAGGGACAGGTCGAGAGTCATTGGTACCATTCGATAAATGCGGTGCGCTCTACAGCTAGTGTCTCTCATCATTGCGACCCAACAACATTTTCAATCAGCCGAAGGTAGCAAAAAGATTCATTCTAAGTAAATGGTCAAAAACTGAAACTGCTCATTCTACAATAAAGGCATTTTTCTTTTTTACATTTTTGGTTCGAACGAAATAAGTGGAAATTAAATTTACTGACTACATATTATTTGACATGTAGTTTCCTCAATATTCGCAAAATATTAAATTTTAATCTTCAATGTTAAAAAGTGATTCGTTAGAAGTTTTAAATGAGATTTTGATTTAGCTAAATAAAGCTAAAGTAAAAACTTTATATTCTTCGCTTTTGTTTATGTTTGATCATGGCGTTTCCGGCTTAGTTTTCTACTTGTGTCAATCCAGATAATTTGGAAATACCTTCTCGATCGATAGATCAGTTGCACTGTGAAGTTTCCGGTTACTCTAAGCAGTTCACCAAGCGATAAATTATTTAAATTAATTACGATTTTACGTTTGTTTTAAATGAAAAGATCTTTTAAATTTCATGGTAAATAGAATGCAATTAAGAATTTAAGCAGTAGGAACGAAAATGATCTGAATATAGGAAACCGTCACTCGACATCTATGTTAGTAAACTTCTTTGTCTGCTTTGCTTACCTGCCAGAGCTGGAAAAAGCATCATGGCCATGAACTGAATTCCATCCATGAAAAAGTAGCGAGAACATAAAAAGATGGCCTTGTAAACGAATCGCTAACTAAAACAGAAATGAATTTTTTTTTCCCAGAAGGTGACCTTTCAGTTTCTAACTTCAAGATACTGATCTGTAAAACAAGCCGATTGCATCAGTCTCCGATTACCAGCGAACGTGCCTCAAGGAATACGCAAGTTGTGGTCTAAATTTCTCACGAGAGAAATTATCTGGATAACTCCGCAGATCTCGAAGTACAGCCTGATTCGTCAGCAGCCGTATAACCCCATGAATTCACGACTCGTACTTGTGCTATCAGTTTCCTTTTATTTTTTCCGCCCTGCCTCGGTTCGAAAGGAATTGTGGGCGTCTTCGAGAGAGTCAGCTTATGTTTCGCTTTCGTAAACTGAATCCCTAAGGAACACTCAAGGCACGTCAATATTGAAGACATCATCATCTGATCAACATTTTGCTCATACAGGGACAGAAAAAGCCAAGGATGGGATGCTTCCTTGGGAGTTTGAGAGCAAAACCATCGTTATGTATACTACTTTTGTGGATACTAACAAGTTTGGAAAAAGCAGGCAAGTTGTTGGAGATTGTTTCTGTTAAGGTTCTTAGCTACTTCCTTACTTTGACGAAGTGTACAGTTTCTGTTTTTTCGAGCAAGGCCTTAATGCCTGTGAAATATACTTCGGGGAAATGACAAGACTTTAAAGCTACTTAATTGAGATTCAACGTCAAATTAATTATTAAACAGGCTTCTTCGACATCATCGATCTTCAATGAATGTTTCAAAATTATGCTTTCTCCTTTTACTCGGCCTTAATTTGACCTCACTTAGTTTGATTGCACATGTATAATAATTCTTACTTTCATTCCACTATTTGTCCCTGACGCTAGTCAGTTGTTAGGCGAGATATGCTCGGCAAAATGCCCAACAATATTGTTTGCCACGTGGTGTAATGCGGCGTCAGCTCGCTGATTTCACTTTTATCTGCTATAGTGCGGAAGCGTACATTTGTCCTGCAATAAAACTTATAATGCATTTCATTCTTTAGGAATTTCTTAAATTAATTTTCTTAATTTAGCCTAACTTGCATCGTTCGAATTTCCCTAGAGCTACAGTCTGTATGGATTTCCTCTCCTACAAATCCAACCTCTGTCATCGAAAATGAGAATCTTAATCTACAATGGAGCTACAAGATTGATGGTTCACTGACATTTGCCAAGTTTTTTCGAATCGGTGATGGCCGATCAGAGAAGCTAATAGCTCTAAAGTCATCGTCTAACAGCTCTATCGATGTGGATTTAGCCTTTCGCGATCGATTTATTTTTAACATTTCAAATGATCAAGCTTTGGTTACACTTGTTGCTGTGCAACGATCAGACAGTGCCACATATCGCCTTCAGATAGCCAACCAGGATCTGCTTGAAATCGACAAAGATGTGAAGATCAGAGTCCTATGTAAGTAAACCGCATTGTGCTTAATCAAGTGCAAACGAATCAATTTAATACTTAGCTTTGATGCATGTCATGCGATTGTAAACAATAGTTGAGAACTGCCTTTTCGAGTCGAAAAATGACATTAAGAGCAAACGGAAAAAAGAATTAAAAAACCTTTTGCTGTCTGCTCATAGCTGTTTGTGTATATTTAAAGTTAGATTGTACACCGTCTAACTACGGATAACAGGAATAGCGAGAACAGAATCAGAGCTTATGTGTGCAGTCTACAGTTGACGTAAGAGTCACGCTTAAACTGATGTCCACCAGGATCTTCGCCGGCCTTGAATTGTTTTGAAAGGTCGCCTGCTCCTTTTCCTCAGGAACTTAAATCTGTAGAATCATTTCGCAAAAAGGTTAAAGGAAAACAAAAAGAAAAGTGCACTGAGATACTTTTATGGAGTTTACTTTCGGTAAATTACAAGAAATAGCTACACTAGCTCTTTCTTTCTTGGAAAGATAATTCTCAGAATCTTTGCGGTTTTTACGTTCAGATATCGTTTGGTGCGTAAATGAAATTTGAGAACTTTCTGAGAGTTAACGAATATCTTATATATAGAGTTTATTCTTAGCATCGTTGAAAAAAAACTAGTAGTAAGAGAGGCAAACCCAACACTGTTGTGAATCGTGTCCATTTTTTACGATTTTGATGTGAAACACAAGCCATAGGAGGTCATTCACTGATTGATTTCATGAAGAAAAATCTCAGTAAACAAAGATCGTCGCGCTAAAATGTCAACAAGCGACTGTAAGACGCGGTTTTAATAATTAGAGAATAACACATGGGCGCGCATGGATATGGATTTTTTTTCTTGAGCTGTCGAGTAAACACGGGAAGAGAAATTCCATATCTACAAGCAACCATGTATTACTTTGTTTATTATATAAACACAATAGCCCTTTACTGACAAGAAAAGCCGACTACATTGATGAGTGAAAATAAAGGAATCGCCAATCCCAAAATAACAATCGTAGAGTGCGTTGGCGCTAACTCTTAAGATGGAAAAATGCGTTGAATCATGATTATAAAAACAACAATGGTCGTAATTTTCAATTTACAGAATTCTCATTTATTGACTTTGTCCTTACCGAAAGAAGAAGTCTTTCTGGTTCGATTTGAACCAGTAACCATAAATCGTTTCATCGGAGGACCTTTGTTTAGATGGTCGGTGCCTGACAAACAGCGTCTGCGCCGAAACGTCAGAAGTTTTTAACCTTTACGGTGGCTAACACTTAATTACCTGTTATACTCTCCCACCGACGCAGCAACACAGTTTCTTTAGAAACTTACCGCTTTATTTTTGGAAGATAGGCGAGGACCACAATGGAATTTTCAACTTGGGCTTTTCCTCTGGAAAGCCGATTAATTTTACTTTTTATGAAAGAACATTCTATCCCTGAAAGCTAGTGATATTTCCATAACCAAAAATGTAGTGGAAGTAATTTGCAGGGCAATTTTTGGGGTTATGCTACTTTATCACGAAATCGCTCCCTTAATTAAAACCGCAAAGGCATTATATAATGTGAAATAACTTAAATTCTTTCCTTCTAGTATGTCAAGGCATCGCAACCACCATAACAACTTAGCTCGACTACGAGTAGCATTCAATTTTCGTAAGTAGGTTCTACCAGCATCCGATTTCTCTTACTTGTTGTGCCTTTTTTGTTTAACTTCATTATTCCATGAGCGCGCGTAGGATTTGAGATTATAAATAGTCAACGATGCACATTGCGCCGAGTTGGTTAATTATAATCAATGTCTATCCCACTTTACGATAATGCTGTGGAGAGCTTACTAAAATTTCTTTCAATCTCTAACATTTTTTTCAAGTAAAAAATGACCGGACTTCAATGTTACTTCAGACCGCCTAAGAGGCTAAACTTGAATCACATGACCTTGGGCATTTTTTTTTTTTACTTTTTCTATCAAAATGACATAGACTATACTTATTTTGTCTCCTTGCCACTGCACAGGAGAAGCTTTGCTTCAAGCCGAAAAAAAATCTTCAGCCTAGCATCACTTGGGTGAATTATTTATCATAGAAGGTGATTCGCTATATGAGCTGGTAGACAACACCCTATGATCAAATTATGAATTAATGATTACTACAATAATGATAATAATAATAATAATAATAATTATAAAAATAATAATTGTCATTTTTATTATTGCAGTATTATTTTAGTGGTATTTTATCTCCTTATTAATATTTGTTATTGCGTCGGGTTTCGAGCTCCAAGATCTTCTAAAGATCAGTTTAAACAAACCTGTATCAAATCTTATTGTGCTATACATTCTGTGGACTAAAATATGGACAAAAAACATTAATTTCAGCGGAGAAGTGCCTTAGTAGTATTTTTATTCATAGTTACGACATTTAGAATTTTCTTGTCTCTATCGTGTCTTTTGATTTCGTATTCTGTTCAAAGTATATTTAGTAGCTGTAACGTGCTGTTAGATTTGGAGTGTCTTTAGCTTGTGCCGATTTGTAATAAACATAAGATACGAAAGGGTTATATAGACCCCTACAGCCGACAATTTATAGGATAATTAGTTCAACAAATGCAGATAAAATTGAGGAGAAGTGGTTAATTTTATTTCATTTTCTTAGTTGGAGACTTTGACTTTTTGTTATGATGACATTACGAGAACTAACAATCGAACTGTATTTTTTTTCTTCTTTCTCGTTCTCCTTTTTCTCATCTTGTACCCAAATAAAAGGCTGTGGTTAGACGTTTCTTCTTGTAATTACATCCGTATTCCTCAGCTCCTTTATGATTTCCCCTGCTGTTCAGAAGGCCAATCCGAAAAGCTGATGAGCTTCTCCTCTGATTTTGTTTTTCTATTTTTCTTGTAGTCCAGCCAAGTAAAACATCAAAGCAATGCCCTGGTGCAGTTACGGAAGGTCATACTGTCAAACTTCTATGTAATTTTACCGGCGACCCATTGCCAAGTGTTGCATGGAACAGAGCGGATACAAGAAGGACACTTTCAAACAGTGGAGTACTGTTTTTAAAAGACATCAAACGCAGTGACTCTGGCATATACGAGTGCCTTGCTTGGAATGGAATTGGAAACAACAGCACGGAATTCTGCATGATTGATGTAAACTGTAAGTAACACGGTAACTGAAGGTGCCCGGCTAATTCACGTCAACAAATTCCTTGCAAGTACTTATCACAACATAGAAAAAGAAAATCTTGAACTTCTGCTTCTCAACAGATCCTGCCCAGATAACAGATATATCTAGCAATCAGACAGTTCAGGTGGGTAAAAAGGTATCCCTCTACTGTCGCACGATTGGAAATCCAGTACCGACTATATCTTGGAATCACGAAAAAAATGTCGGACGTAGAAGTGAACTTTATTTTGATTCCGCGAGACTCGGCGACCAAGGATGGTATAAATGCACGGCAAAAAATGGAATTGGCTCTCCAGCCACTGCCCGTACATATCTTGATGTTGCAGGTAAGTAGATCTGCTCTCTTATGACATTTAATTTTGCCGCAGTTTAAAGTGTTTTTTTTTATTTTTTTTATTTTTAATTTTTTTTTTTACCGAGTGTCTTGAAACAGAAATATAGCATCGAAAACAATTATGTTGCTTTTTACTAAAGTTCCTCTTATTTCTTTTCTAGTCTAAAGAAAATTGACAACTCAACTTTTACTTTTTCTAAGTAGGCATATATTGATGAGAATATTTCTACTTAAACATGTACTTCAGGCACAGAGAATGGTTATGATAACTTTTGACTGAGAGATTTCTATTCAAAAGTCTTTTTTTAAGCATTGTCCAAAATGGTTTCATTAATTTTTAAATTCCATTTCTTTGCCGGATCATAGATTTCACAATTTTGCGTTTGTTTTTTCTGTGACTCTGGAAAAGGTTCAATTAGTTATATACAAGTTGCGACTATTTTTTTTTTTTTTGTATTTAGAAGGTTGCCATAACAACACTACTGCCTTTAATTCCTCCTTAATTTTTTTTGGTTTTTTTGTTGTTTTTTGCTCTTTCTATATTTTGATTTGCTGAGAGGACTGAGAGCTTTGTTTTTCCTCTTTAGAAAGAGCCAGTAATTTGGTTAATGCAAAGATGACAATCACCAACGAGAAATTTGACAAAAGTCTCAGAAACAAAGAAAGCAGAAGATACCAGAACCTCTCAAAGCAGGTTATTGTAGCGGTAAGTTTTTAGTTTATTGGCATGCTAAAGAATGACATATCCTTAAGATCCTAAAAAGATTACAAATCCGTGTTGACAAATTGTTTTCATTTTTTTTTAGGTTGAAGATCTCTTTAGAAATGATAACAGCTACAACAGCACTGAAGTCGTACGTTTCGAGTGGGTGACTCTTAGCTTTTTCCAAAATCCCTATGATATAGATTTTACTATAGATTTTACGTATATTTATTTTTCTTATCTTGTGTCTAATTTTTTTTCTTTTAACAGAAGTGGCAGCGTGGTTGTAATTTTCAATTTAAGATTCGAGCAAGCAGTGGATATTAACAGGATCATTTCTGTCTTGAAACACGCCGCACGAGACAGAAAACTTGGAAAATTGATTATAGACCCATCGTCGATAGCGGCACTTCAAGATTACATTCATCAAACGACAAGATCGCCGAGGGTATCCTCTTCAGGTATTTGACTATTATTCTCTAAAGTGGCCGGGTCTGGACCCCACAAGCAGGGCATTTCACAGGCGGTCCAATCTCAGGTCTCGAGAAAAAGCAAACGATTAATTCACGAAAACGTCACGCGTAGTGTGACTCGGTGTTGAGACGTGAGCTCGGGCTGCCTGTGGGCATTTAAGCTATATCGTTGCGGAATAGATTATTTAATGCAAATAAACCTTTTCCCCCTCAATTTTAGCTGTGGTGTAATCTAATTGTAACAAGAAGAGCCCACTTCTGGCAGGTACTGTTCACTCTGAATTCGGTTGAAAATTTGCAATGCTAAAGTTTAATCACTTAGCAAAATTTCTGAGACAGTTATTGAAATTTTGTATTTCTGCCTCACATATGAGCTGCGGGATCAAAACGAACCGATGAAAGCCTACGTTTTTTCAGAAATGAAAATGGGTACTACTTTCATGGTAATGCATACAATGTAGACTTTATTACTAGATCCATGCCACTTAAGCTCTGGTTCCATCTTAAAGTCAAAAGCGGTTATTTTTTACTCTTAAGGTAGTTTATTGATAACTGGTTTTATCAGTGATTACAAAAAGGTATCGCAGATGCAGCTTTCCACTCTTTAACCAACGAAAAGGAATATGCATCTTTAGTATAATTTCTGTGGTGATAAGAAAGATGCGCGAGCACTGATTGGTCGAGGACTGCGTCATATCTCGCGATAATCACCTAGCGCGAGGTGACTTTAGCAGGAGCGCTAATTTTCAAAATAGCTGTCTCGAGTATTGTCAGTGTTACGTAGGAAGTGATGAACTAGATACAAAATTCAATTCCGAATCAAATTAAATGAACTTATCAAATGCGAGTGGAAACTAGCTCTTTATCTCGATAAGAGTAATCAAGACAATGAAAACAGAATTGTTTCAAGAGCGAAATGAATATTTACAACGGAATTAGTAAGCACCTGAATATTTACCGAGCCTGAGGCGAATTATTGTTAAATACCCTCCTTTAGGCGGTTGGAGTGAGTTCGTGGAGGTTTCTGCTTCAGAAAAAAATAAACATAATTTTTTGAATAAAATTTACAAATCATCAACAAATATTTATTTCGTCAGGGTCCAAATGGATTATAGGCGGTGCTTTAACAGGATCTGTGGTTTTTATCTTGATCTGTATTTTTACATTCTGGTTTTGTTGGAGACGAAGGAAACGACGTAAGTATGCGAACTTACTGATACACCCGAAGAGTTCATCTATTTACTTAATTTTCATGGGGAAAAAAATTGAAAAAGGAAAGAAAAGTTGGATTTCTTTCTCGCTTTTTATTCAGCAGAGCAAAATTGAATCCAAATTTAGTGATGCTCCCATTCCCAGAGTCCAAGAGCTGTTCAATTTTCTCCGTTAATGAATTCCTCAATGGGTTAAGAGAGAATAAACAAACTAAAAATGGACAATATCTTGTATTCCAATACCCCCATTGACCGAAAAATACGTAGAGGGTAAATTTTGGTCTTCCTCTGTGTTCTTTCTGAGAAAAGGCAGTAAAATATTTGGAGGGTAAAAAAACGAACGAAATAGTATTTTCACATTTAACTTTGCTTTCAGGCCATCGACCAAGTACTTCAGATCCATCTAATGGTGAAGTAGCAATTTCTTTGCACTGCAAGTTTTATCATTTTTTCAGCTTGAGTTACCAAGTATATCAAGTTTTTATTTGCAAGTCGTCCAGAAGTTTTCCTCTTTCTCTTTACACTAACCAGGACTTTGTCTAATGAAAAAGAAGAGCGAGTGATTTTTCAACAGTGATCAAGAACTAGAGCTAAATTAACGTTGACGAGTCTAACGTCAAATTCTTCTATTTGTCACCAGAAGTTAAAGAAGTGGTAGCTGAACACCCGAATGGAAATGAAAAAAGTCTACAGATCCGCGGTATGTATCGAAGACGAACATTTAGTTAGTATTTGCCCCCCCCCCTCGCCCGCACTTATATATGTAGTACTAGAATGTTTATCTTGAAATGAAATCGGCAAAAAAGTGAATGTTTTTAAAAGGATTATAACCTGGTTGTAGGTTCAGAGGGTTTGGTGTACGGGCTCATTATCACTTTACATTTCTGATTTTTTTTTAAACGCAAAAAGAAATGAACATTCGTCGAGGGAAAAAACGAAACGAAACAACATAATTTTCGAAAAAACAAAGAAGTAGTTAGCAAGGAACAGCGAAGGTTAGGATGGTTGTCAAAAAAAGTGTTTTTCTATCTAGGGCTTTGTCCAATAAAAATAAAGCGAGAGTTTTTTTCAGAAGTGATTTAGCGCGGGCCAAACGTTGATGAAGAATGCTTGGAAAGAAGGAACAAAATAATTTTAATTATCTTATTCTTCTATTCATAACCAGATACAAGACATGAACCATCGAATGGAAATGAGAAAAGTCTACAGATTTGTGGTAAGGATCGAAGATGTACATTAAATGAGTGTATTTCAACAACCGCTGGCATATTCGGACCTTGTTTCACCCCCTTAACTAAAATCCACGTTGCTTTCGCCCTCGAAGGAAAACTCGACAGTGTAGTTGAATACTGAGAAAGAAATATCCATAGAAAAAAAGGGGGAAAAGTGGTAATATTTTTTAAGAAGTTAATATTAACGTGTTAATGAGGTGAAAGGTTTTGGTAAGTAGCTAGGTTAATTACCCCTTGACATTTCTTTCAAAAGGAACTGATTTGTTTGTAGAAAAATATTTCTTTCGTCTTGTCACAACGCGGGGGGGGGACAAAGGGAAAAATCTGCAGGACGCGTGTCATATATGAACTTCGTAATAAACCGCCTTCCTCATCATAGCTAGTGTATCTGTGAATCAGTGGTAGAGCATCGGAGCTCAGAATACGAAATTCTAAGGTTCGATTCCACGCGGAGACCTCGATTTTTTATTCCCGCGCTCTTGGAAAAACGAAAAAAAAATTTCTCTATTTCTTTACCGAGCTCAAAACTAATCATCTTTCTTATTCTATTAATTTGTTTCTATTTATAAAAATCGTCGTGTGCTTAGCGCCGTAGGTCTTCTAGGCAATAACATCAACAAGCGACAAATTGATCTCCACAGATTTACATTTACATAAATTGACATCATCCCTCTCATAACCCAGATACAGGTGCTCTTACTGTCTAAGCCACGAGTGAGACAAATTGGAATTGAATTTTTTGTTTCCCTGTAAACTGAGGGAGGACCCTCGTTTTCAAAATCTGTTGTCATCGCAATGGAATTAACCTGCAGATAGCAACTCTCACCTGTTTTATCTTTTTCTACAATCAAAATACTTTTATTAATAGACTATTTGATATTCACGTATTTTAGTGGGTAACGTAGAAAAAAATTAAAATCGTTAAAATCATCTTTGTTGTACTTTTAGGAAACAAGGGGATCCTGCAGACGATAGGTACGTATGAAAACGAAAATCGTAAATTATGACAAGTGTTATCATTACATTAGCCGTCGTGAACCCTTCATATTAAGGTTTGACTTTTTACAACTACGCTATAAATGAGCTTGTGATAGCCATTAACGTCCTTTAAGTAAAATTTCTCAGTAAAATACGTAGGATGAGTCATGGACTTGAAGGTGATGAGACCTATAATAAGTTGTATAATAACTGTTGTATCAAAAAATGCTCATGCAACGAGCTTAAGAAAGCGAATACAAAAGTACTTGTGCAAATCAGACGAGAGCAAAATTTTCCAGTCCCTAATTATGGGTGTAAGCCAAGCCAGTACCTGTTTAGAACCCAAAATGTAATCGGAACGGAATTCAAGGCTAAAATCGTCATTAAGTCCTAGAATAATTATCAATCTCCGACGACAAACACTTACTGTAACCAGCTTGCCAAAAAATCTTAGAGATATCAAAATTGGAGGGTACTGGTTTATGCACGTCATTATAGGCCCGTGCAAATTGCCACTTACACATCCACGTGGATATTAATTTGAAAAGTTACTCTTTTACTGGTTCGCAGTCTTAGCTGCGGTTCCTCTCAACCAATTGTGTTGATCTCCACTGAGCCATTGCAAACTTTGGTTTTACTCCGCACCAGTTCTGGTAGCCATAACAAAAACACGTTGATTATTTGGTGTTTTAACAGCAAACATTAGAAGAACTGGTGGTAGCAATTCAAATTGGTCAATATGGCTCTAAGAGAGTTGTAATTCTAAGAGAGTTAACAAAGAGAATTACAAGAGATATTTTCTTTTCTGTTTGATCCCAAGTCAAAAATCTGATTTTTGTAACAAATTTCGTTACAAATGTTAAAAGATCATAACTCAACTTATGATTTAGATATTTCAGAACGACCTCTACGGACAAGAAAAAAAAACTTATCGCCTTAGTTGGGAGGGAAGTAGAAAGAATGATGATTAATTTTTTTTTAATTTCCCTTTGCAGATCCTAGTGTTCTTAAAGGTGCAAAAAGTGCAAAGTATACACGTGAAAGAAGGACTTCTGATCATGGAGAGACCATAAAAGAATCGTTTGAAGTACAGTTCTCATAGCATGGTCCTTTAGGGATGACAGAAAAAAAATTGAAATACCGTTACCTCTTTTCTCTGAATAATAGTGATGGAATCGAATCATAGCAAAATGTAAGAAATTTAAGCAGACGAAATGATTGAAGATGGAAATAGAGAATGAGAGAACACTGAAAATTTTAGCAAGACGGTATGCTTTTTTCCTTAAAGGCTTTCCTCAAATGTTTAACGTGATCTGGAGTCGTGCCAACCAATCAGGTCAGTACAAAGGCCCATGTGCCAAAAACATCAAAACACTTTTAGGGAAAGGTCAATGCGCTTAACATTTTATTCATGCATACTTTCTTTGAGTTGCTTTTTAGTTTCAGACACAAATCTTGGTGACCAGGCAAAATTGTCTGCAGAAAAATCCTTCAAAAGGCATTGAGACCTCCTAAAGTGAGATAGCATCTGTGAAAAGGGAACAGCCATCCATAACATTGACTGGTGGAGTTAAGTTTCTTCGGCAGGGATTTATGACTCAGATTTTATCAAACTTGCCACAGCTGTAAGTCATGAATAAAGCGCTGGAAAAACGCAATAAAGACTACGGGTCACCGAGCTTGTTTTCGCCCTGAATGCCTGTTGTTCTAATTGTTCCTTTATAATATGCGCAGGAAGTGTTCAATTTTTTATAACCATTAAAAAATTGTTATTGTAAAATAAGAATTCCGAATATAACTGAAACAATCCTTTATTAAATTGATTTCAAATTGCCCGATCTTGCATCGATGTTTTTAGAAAAATGGACCGTCTCATACTCCTCCTTGGCAACTGATACTTTCAATTTAATAAAACGTCAAGGGTAAAACCTCTGGTATCAGAGTTTTTGCCTATTTATCGTACACTCAAAAAGGCGGACCAGCATGTTCGTTTACTGGAACCTCGCAATTTACCTTTGTTACAGGTTTGGGCAGAATAAAAGCTCCCATTTTAATTTATTACGCACTCAATTATCTGCGTGCAATAGGGATGCTCAACGCAATCTTAGCGAGTCAGCTTAAGATTCCCCTATCATTAGTAATTTTCTTAATCAGATTACCTTCGGGAGGTCTAAAGAAGAGGAATTAAAAAAAAAATTAACTTAAAGATTAGACACAATTTATCTTTTATTGTTTTTTTGTTTTTTTCATGACGGAAGTTTCTTTTACCATTGCACATTTAGAAATTCTGCCTAACTAATTAATTCTATTTAATTCCACGTCTTCGCTAAAAATGTAATTGAAGTCCTCTGCAGCAATATCTCTCCAAGGCCTCTGTAGGACGCAGGGCTGCAAGATCTGGTTCATTTTTCATTTTAGGAGAAGTTCTATATCCTGCTCGACTATGCTTCTAAATCCTTGACGTTTTCGTAGAGTCGGTTGTCGTAAGTTTCCAAGTTCAGCAGCCTCTGTAGAGTACAATAAGAGCCGATATCTAATTAAAACTAAAAATACTCTAAAACTACGAACAAACACCAATTTTCAATCAGCAAACGGCGAAAATTGTGGATGTTTAGATCAAATAATACTAGATTTATTTCCGTCTTCATGGGTGCAGCGTGGTTCTTTGTTCAACACATTTCAACTATGCCCTCTCGCTTTAACATGCACAATTTACCAGGGATGACATGACGAGTTATTTAGGATTGGGATCAGTTTAAGGCATCGCCAGAGTATAAAAAAAATCTGGAAGATTAATCTTGATACTTGATGATTTGCATCTGTTCAAATGTTACACACTTTGACCTGGCCCCAAAAACCTGATCCCCAGGCCAACGCTTCCAACATTGAAATGAAGTACTTCTAATGTAGATTTCACAATCATACCTTGCTTTGGTTTTCCATTTCTTTGAGTTCGTTCTTCAAACTTTGGAAAGTTGGTCTCTTTTCGGGATCGTCCTCCCAACACTTTGTCATAATTGCGAATCTAAATCATCGAGTGCAATCATGAATGCATTGAATGCAATCAGTCTCGTATGGCTCATTGATATCTTGGTATAGGGAGAACTGACTCTGAAAGTCTTCAGTTTGAGTAGACTTTAATCTGTAAAGCGCATTCTAAAATGTACCGACAGGAGGAAGAAATCTGTACAATTTTCAAGTAAAGGAATATTCTGTACACTTTTCAAGTCTTTTTTTATAGTTGAATCTCAGAGGTGCTTGCAGAAATAAAATAGGTTCAAAATCAAAAACGAGATCATGCGCGCAGCAGAACACCACAACATAACTGGCGTCATGAAATCACAGCAATATAAGAGTCTCATACAAATCATCATCCACGTGCTGTGGTTTAGGCATTCTGTATCCCTCTTGTAGTGACTTGATAATTTTCGTGCCATCCACATTTGGATACGGTGTACCACCTGAAAGAGACCGTTTGCTGTTACTAAAAGCAAACTAACACATACCCAAGCGTATTCCTTTTTGGATCTTTCTTGGTTGAAATAGAGCCATACACACCACATCCATAATCATACTGAACTGTTTATTATTTTTTTTATTTCATGGAAACGACCAACCCGTACAAGCTACAGACTGGTCACAACATAGAAGTATGTAAATATTCTTTGTTCTAATTTCCTTAAGGTAAGAACTTCAGGCAAACTCACCCAAGCCTTAAAAAATTGCACATGAAATGCCAGCCATTGTTATTTCAAGAGTTAACGCAGCTTTAAAATGAAACTTGGCGGCTTCATTAATGACATGGTCTTTGACCACCCAGATGACTCACCTATTGTAAAAATCTCATAGAGAAGAACCCCATAGCTCCACCTGTTCAGAAAAATCGCAAAATTTTGAGATTTAAGGCTTTCAATGGAAAATCTTTGAAAATTTCGGCCTAGCGAACTATTTACAAGTATTACAAAATTCACAGCATGGATGATGCAGGAAGTAAGGACAAACTAGATCCTCGTGGTCTCACGTGATTACTCTCCCCCATAAGATGACTTTGGTTCAACGTCACTGACCACCCCTCCCCACTACTCGCATTCATAAATTTACTCCCGCCAAAGGAATACGGTTCACCCTGAGAAGTCTTCATTAGGTCTAAATAACTCAAGCGTATACTCACACATCACTTTTCGTAGTATATTTTCCATACAAGAGAGCTTCAATGGCAGTCCATTTTACTGGAAGAGGCCCCTAAATTAACGTCACAACGAACTGGCTTAAAACCTGAATAAAAGGCTTTTAGTTATGTTGCAACATTAAAAATTAGTACATTAACTTCGATTCTGATATCTAAGTTTACAAGAAAGTCCTAAATTAGAATAGCAGAGCAATTGGATAACCAAGTTATTCACCTTTGGGAATCTATAAAGTAATATCTGCACAGCCTTCTTCATCACTTTGCATTCTGAAGGAGAATGGTTTAGTACCTTTGTTTTTCTTTCGTAAATCCTTTCCTGTTGCACATCTCTGGCCATACCTAAGCCTGTCAATTTACACGTTTCTTTTTCACCCATCAACACATTTCGGGCCGCAAGGTCTCGGTGAATAATCTAGGAAGAAACCATGTCTATATGACTTCGACCCGCATAGACGATTAGCGTGGACTAATTAAAAATATCAACTTCAGAGCAAGACGGTTATATAGCACCATAAAACCTATAAAGTACATACTATGAAAATAACAAAAGTTCCCACAGTTTTTGTTGGGATAGGCGAGCGCGAGCCTTTAAACACAACACAAAACTGACGGTGTTTGCGTTACTGAACTGCCTGCCTCTGCGTTACCGCAGTCCTCCAAGCAAACTACGCCTTATCGTTAAGCAGGCAATAAGCTATAATGAGGCAAACGAATTTACAGTGGATTAAGGAAAATCCAAAAATTAACGGGAAAAACCAGGAAAAGTGGGCAAAGCAAGAAAGGGAAAAATGAAAATATTTACTTCGATTTCTCCAGCTCGGGTTCTCTCGCGGCTATTCTCTTGTGGGCCGTTTGAGAAAGACTCTTATTCCCAACGTTTGGCGAAATTTGCCAAAAATATTACCTTCCTCTCCCCAGTGCAAGAAGGGATGTAAACAAAATATGCAAATCGAGAGCACGAATGGAAGCCACCTGAAATGAATAATCGGAAAGTGGAGGCCTTTCCCGATTGTGACACCATGAAAAATTTAGCAATGAGTTGGTTACTTACTGATTTCGATGACAAGTAACTCATTCCATCAGCGATTTGCCAAGCGAACTTGATCAGCTGTTCAGACATCAGATTTGTCTGTGGTTTGATATCCGGGTCTTTGTAATAAGTGTCATTCAATCCACGGCTCCTTCTCAAGTAACCGAGCAGATTTCCAAAGGGAGCGTATTCAATTAACACCAACAACGGTCCTCAGAAGAGAAAAATATGTTGAAAGCAACTTGTTAATCTCCTTCCATTTTCAACTTAAATGTCGCTTTTCAAGAACAATTATTCTAAGTTTATCATGATTTGAGAAAAAAAAGGTCGATACAGAGAAACACTCTTGATATGCACGTGAGAAACTCTTACAACTATCCAAACCAACCAAATGTTAAACTACTCTCAATTTACCTGATTTCGTGACGCACCCCAGAAGTGTGACGACGTACGGATGAGGTTTGAGTTGTTTCATCAACTCTAGTTCAGACAGCAAATCCTTCTTCTCTGAATCAGTAGCTTCGTCTGAAAGATTGTTAAGTTTCAAACCATTTTTTTTCGGAAATTTATAAAAGATAACAGTTGATTATTTCGCAAACGGTGATATATGCGGAGGAGCTATGGAATTTAACCATGATTGAATGACTTGCCGGCTAAACGATTTTGAGAGAGATTAACGCTTTTTCGCTGCAGTTTTATCATAAATGGATTAAGATAATGTTGATACGGGGGAAGAGAAATTTTTGTCAGCATTACCACTAAATGTTATAAAATATACCGATTAACTGCTCTCCTTGCGTACGATCTGTAATATAATTGTGGAATCGTCATCGCGTTATGGTCTCGACATGTTACAAAGTTAACCTCAAATCGGACGGATATAACCCACTTAAGTCTTTTCCGTTGTATTATTGTATGTACAGCCTGTTTTCATACTTGTTAACGTATTAAATAAACAGATTACGATGTCTGAAAATATACCTCCTCAAAGGAGAGGAGTCGTCGTCAGCGGAGATGGCAATTGTTTTACCGAGTTGTTGCTCTTTGGGAGGATGAAATAAGCGATGAAAAACAAAAGGAAATCCCTCGGCCAAGTGATAATTTGTCGAGAAAAATCCAAAGTTTTTCGAGCTGCCACTTTTCTCCTCGAACTCCATGAAGGATCTTGCCGGTCATGAAAAGCAAGGTCACGGGAGCTCCGGCAGAAAATGTGGACGTTTATTTATTCAGTTGTGCATTGCTCCTCAAGGACCCATTTAGATCTACTCATCGTTGCATAAGAAGGGATTCAGTTTTAAGTCGATTATCAACGATGGTTCGTTCTCATTGATCAAAACAAAGAGGGAATGTGGGTGTTTAATCACTTCATATATCACGATAATATTTAATGCTCAAACACACAACTTCAATCTCCTGCTGCCTCGAGTTAGCTGTTTGTAACGTTTTTTTGGTTAACCAAGCCTATAAAAAAGCTAGACTTAGACTTAACACAAGTAAATAAAACTGACAAGGCTTAGTTAGTCATTTCTTGGCGATTTATAGCTGATATTTCTAAAGTTCGCGATCATTACGCGATGTCAATTTCACTAAACCCTTGCGCATAGAGAAAAGGTAATCGCTAGATTTTACTACATATTTCACGGTTGTTCAAACAAAACCTTGCGCTACCCTTGTATCAAAATTACGCACACCTACTTATGATATAACAGCGGCAAAGAAGCGATGATCTCTCACCAAAATGTTTTTTGGACGTCGAAACAACCTTTCACCATACATTTCTTTCTAGCGAGTTGTAATGTTTTCCCCGAGGCGATCCCAGATGTCTTTGCGCAAATACAAGGATCCGATTACTGGCAACCCATTGATTGGGAGTGAGATTTCACATTAAGACATTTGAACTCTTAAAAAAACAAGAACGAACACAAATGTATTTCTATAGTGCTTCTGGCCTCAAGCTAAGAACGTAGCTGAATATTGGCCATGATTCCCATACACATACAGAAAAATATTATGCAGAGGCATACAATTTTAAACAAAGAGATTCGACAAATTCAAGCAAGAAGTAGAACTTGACACCTTTCAACATTTTAACTGCCACCACTGTCTTCTCAGATCCTCCGTGTAGACCTATGACTGTTGCCTTGGCAACCTGACCGAAAGCACCTTTTCCAACGATCTTTTCGATAGTCACGCGTTCTCTCGGAATCTCCCAGGAGCGTGATGATGGATCAAGAGATGCGTACTCGCTGTATTGTTCAGTGCTGTGTGGACTGTTCTGTCGTGTGGCATCCATCATGAATGATGAACGAGTTCTGTCATCCAATTCCATATAATGCATTTCGCGAGGTTCATCTATTTCAAGTTCCATCTTGGAAACAAAATTGACTTAACTTTCGAATTTTAAAGATAACCTGTCTCCCATGATAAACTTTTAAATGAACTATCTTCCACGAACAGTGGTGCATACAATGATATATTTATTTTAAAAGTAAGCAATTTACAAGTCGAGCAAAGGATTTTTAAACTGAAATATGCAGGCAATTTATTTACCAAAAATGGAACATGTACTCACTTTCACTCCTCTTTGTTTAGTTGATTCTTTATACATGCTAAAACAATCATACAGATTAGATCAAAAAATTATACTAATCAACTACATATTATTTGGTTTGAGTAGAACTGATCTAAAGAATCATGCTTAACGGTTGCGTTCTTTACATCTTGTGATCAACAAAGTAGTAATGGGAAGTAGTGTTATCTGCTGGATATGATCCTTAGTATGGAGAAAGACCCCTAACTCGTATGTAAACGTAACTAATAAGCATATAAGGATTTGTTATATGGTTACGTGGTTCATATGGTTTAATTTCAGTTCAATTGGCAAATGCTTTTAAACGTCTCCACTGCCTCACGATGAGGAGATAGTCATAAACCTTCCTAGCGGGCTTACCTTTCCTTTCCTGCTGTCCCTTGAGGAAAAAAAAAAGGAAGTCAGTGAGATGCAAAATAAATAAACAAAAGAAATGAAGGCACAGGGAGAAACACAACGAGGAAGTGCGATCCAACGAAACAAATTTAAATTGATGATATCTGAAAAGCCCTCATAAAGTCTCAGTACGTAAATGTTTGAAACTATGTACAAGCCATTAATCAGCATGAAGAATAGCAAGGCAAGGCAAGGCAAAATGTTGCTCTAATACTAATGACAAATCATCGTACATAAAGCTTGTTAATGATAACCGCTGGGTAGCGAGTAAATGTATTCACTAGCTACCCGCTCGTAGCCTTTTCATAAGCGTCATTCTACTGTGAGCTTAGGGGTAATTGTAAATTCTCGTCAAATTGGCTGACTTCTACGAAATACGAAGTAACACAAATTGGAATAAACCTTAAAATTCAGGAAAATACATACAACTGAAACAGTCTTAACCTTCAAAATTTCCCTAGAAAGCCCAGACCTCCCTCGGAAGAGAAAGCCCACTAGGCGTTCACGACTACCTGCCTACCATTCAAAAAATACCCAATTGTATCCAATTATTTTATAACCACTGCTTACACGGTCTTATACTTACCTCTATGTTCGTTCTTTCGAAGCTTAAAGAAATAGAATACCAGGACGAGAATGCCCAGGAGAATAAGACCAGCAAGTGAAACAATGACAGCAATCATCCAGCCTTTTAACGGTTCACCATCACTTCCTGCTCCTGGAATAGGGCCAGCCGGAACTAAAAAACATTGACAAACGCATAAAAAAATCCTTCTTAATGTGTATAGGAAATCGCATGCAATCCTTGTACAATGGGTAACTCGGGGTTTGTTCCCTTTTTCAGAAACAATCTTCAAGGACTTTTCCAGGTCTCAGATTTATTTTTCAACGATTCCAAACTTCACCTTAAATCCTCTCATTCCCAAGATTTCCAAATCAATTCTCCTTACGGTCTACAGATATTTCCTACAAAGTGAACTCTGAAAACTTTATCGCTTGAGTTGGGCAGATTTCCAGGACTTTCCGGAACTTTCTAGAACTTTCAAGGATCTGTAATTTTTTTCAATGACTTTCCAGTCCTGGAAAATTACAAACTCAAATTACATGACTATCCAGGTTTTCCAGAACCCATACAAACCTTGTGACTTACGGGCAAGCATGACTGAAAAGAAGCCTGCTAGTCAGCGCTGGTATTACCTCTCCCCGACACGTTTCCAATCTTCCCAAGGGCGGAGAAACGCGCGTTCTGCAGCTCTCATAATGAGGACCTGCTCGCACGTTAATCAAATTGTACCACGTACCTGTATCACTATAAACATAAGCCGGAGCAGACTCTCCTGGTCGTCTCATATCCACTCTAAATCTATATGAGCTGTCAGCTTTCAGATCGCTCACTTTAAACTCTGATACAGGTCTTTTCAGCTGAGAGGCTCCCTCGACAAGCTCCCAAGAGCCCTCTCCTCCCTGCTGAATCTCAACAGTCACAGTTGTTACTTTGTCATCTGCTATCGTCCATTCCACCAGTATGATAGAGGCGTCGTCCGACGCTCTGAAAGCTTTCACTGAAAGAAAGGACAGAAGAAGGACAGTTTAGCTTACGTGTAGCGTACCCTCCCCCCCCCCCCCCTCCACGCTGCACCTAAGGAAAATTCTACTACGAGCTATGAAGGCGTAAACAGTCTGCATGCATGCCAAGTTGTCCTGCTAGCTGTAGTTTATTCCAAGTACACCTGTAAACCTGGTATACCTACTAGGAGGGTGTCAATGGCGTTAACAGTTAGCCGTAAAACGACCCAATTTTTAACCGTTATACGTACAAATTGACAGATTTCAATCGCTAATACTGAAATATTTTCTAAACATACCAGTTCCTCTGTCCGGAGGTATCTGGGACTCTAAAAACGAACAAACAAAAAACCATAAGAACAATTGTCATTGCCATCACGTAATATTTCATAACATTCCCAAACATTCTATGATTTACTTTGTTTATATATAGTTATTGTTACCCGGTGTTTTATACTCCTTTGGGTCTGACGGTTGGCTTTGGCCAACTTTATTGGAAGCTTGAACGGAGAATTCATACACTGTTTCCGGGTAAAGTCCGTGTATAGTGTGCATGTTATTATCTGGATGACCAACAAACTGTTCCACAAAGTCTCGGTTGCTTTGTTTGACGCGATAATGGATTGTGAACTCTTGATCATATCCTCCACTGTATCCAGGTGTCCAGCTCACAATGACACTTACAGTTTTCGAATTTTGGTCTCGAAACGACTTCACGTCTACATTAATTGGTTTATCTGGAATCCCTGCCAAGAAAGTGACTCAGTTTCAGTTTAGGGTGGTGAAAATCTATTTAAGATAGTCCCACTTAGTTTACATTTTAAATAATTTTTCCCTAGCGATAAATGAGCTGGGGTGGCGCTGGATTGGTCTCTTCTAAGTGCTGCATGATCACACTAATGGAAAACCTCCCAGGATCTTTAAGTAGTAGTAGTAATCTTTACAGAGGATGCCAACGTCACGAAGTGGTTTACAGAAGGGTCCTCAGTTAAACACCTGCCAAAGACTCTTACAGACGAAGATCTCTAAGGATCCTTGAATCCTGTGTTCAGCGGTCA